TTTGTGCATTAATATGCCGGTTTTCGACACTTTGGGATGTTAAAATCCAGGATTTTCATACGTTAGTGGTTATGTTTTCATGTTAACATCCACTGCTTTACACTTTGTTTGTTATTATTCAGATTATTGATGCTTTGGTGTGTTAATATTCAGGTTATTGCCACTTTTTTGCATTAATATCCAGTTTATTAATATGTTTTCACATTACTATCCAGGTTCTTGACACTTCTGTGCATTAATATCCAAATTATTGATATGTTTGTGCATAAATAATCAGATTATTGAGAGTTTCATGTGCTAATATTCTGGTTTTTGACACTTTTTTTGCATTAATTTCCATGTAATTGACACTTTGGTGTGTTTATATCCATGTTACTGGCACTTTGGACGGTCAACATGCAGGATTTTCACACTTTATGGTGTTAATATCCAGTATATTGGTGCTTTTATGTGTTAATATCCTGCTCATTAAAACTTTTTCCTGTTAACATCCACTGCATTTACACTTTGGTTTGTTAATATTCAGATTATTGATGCTTTGGTGTGTTAATATTCAGGTTATATCCAGTTTATTAACAGGTTTTTACATTACTATGCAGGTTATTGACACTTTTAAACGTTTTCATCTTGAGTTTTGCTAAACGCTGAACATGTTTCACCATTTTAAAGCCCAAACAACTAATTATTAATCAAGAAGCCACAGCTCTGACGGATTCTGTAAAAACTGTGTTGACAAAAGTCAGATTGTAGAAAACGAAAGGTAAACGTCCTCCTGGTTTACGGTTCAGAAGTGAAACTGAGTGTCAGCAGCAGCTCGAGCGTCACTCAGAGTCTGGAGACGTCGTGGACGCAGCAGCAGCAGCTTCGACATCCTCCGACGATTTGTTATTCAAATACGACGAGGCAGCTGCTCCTCAGACGAGCACAAATCAATTATTGTCATAGATACGACGCAAACAAGACGCTGCTGTGTGTTTGTGTCCAGGAAGCCGGATCATATCAGAGCTGCAGATAAGCGACTGTGCTTCAGTGAATCGAGACAAACAGAAGAAGATTCGCACCGAGCGGGTCGAAGGCGACGCTTTGAATGAAGACGGAGATAAACATCTGATGTTAGGAAAAGAAAGATCGAGTAAAAATCTGTCACAGAACAAATACGACTGGAGAAGCTGTGACAATAACAGCAAATATCTGCAGAATAATTTGATTTTCAGCAGATTTAAAAACAGTAAAACGGTGAAATTTTATGTTCACACACTGCAAAAAAATAAATAAATTACTACTTGTGAAAATACAGATTTATTTTTATATGAACATTATTT